AAGGGAGCCGATGATGAAAGCGTCCATGTGGACGTCGTAACCCCGGGCAATAAAGTCGTCGGCGATGTGTTTGTATTTCCGCAACTTCTCAGCCCTGGTCGCCTCGAAAGCCGTGTACCGGTTTTCGAATGCGATTGCGACGTCCACCAGAGTCATCGTTTTCTCGTTGATGTTCGTGATCAGTAGGTCGGGTCGTAGACCGTCGTCGAAGCCGGGCACCGTGCGGTTGACCTTGACCACTGTGTCGCCAGGTGGTTTAAACGCCTTGGTTATCCTGTTGAGCACAGCGTCGTGTCGTCTGGTCATGGCGGCGAAATGCGGTTTGCAGTGGTTCAGGACATGCGGTAATGTTTCGTTGGCATGTCCGCACCTCCGGCATCTCTTGTCGCCATTCCCGTGCCTCCGAGCTCCTTTGAGTGGGACGCAGTCCAGCCTTGCTCTGTGGACAAAGCGCCATTCGGCGAACCTGGTGAAGTCGCCGCTGCGCATAAAGTGGTTTGGTGCAGTTGCGGCTGGCGTCACCTGGTACACTTTGCCCTGGTCGGGTTTGGCAAGGAGCTGCTGTCGGTAGCTTTCCCTCATCAGGTTTTTAAGGGAAGCTTCCACGTCCCTGGTATTTACCGTGCATTTGTTGATGCTCACCTTCAGTTTGCCGTCCACCGAGATCCACTCGACATTTGGGTGTTTTCTGCGGAGCCGCGTTGTGGCAGTCCTGAGTCGAGTGAATGTGTTCGTGACGTCGATGGACTCATTTTTGAAGTCCCCAGCCATGGAGCCGTTTAGGTATTCGGCCAGCTCACTGTTGGTGCCATCTCTACGCAGGCGTTGAGTAACCGACTGCTGCAGCAGTAGTTTGGCCAGGCTTCCCACTGTTGCAGAGTCTAGCAATCTTGCTGCGTGTGTTATTTGGCTGATGTCGGCCATCTGGTTCATTGGCATAAGATTGACCCCTCCCATTTTATAGCTCATGTAGAGGGGTTCGACGCTTGCTCGTTGGGGCAGGTTTAGCCATTTCTTAGCAGCGATCTTCAGCTCTCTGTCGAGCTTGGAGAGTTCTGTTTTGGGCACCACTCCGTTCTTCAGATGGAATGACAGGCATGGGAGCACGAAGGTGTTAATGGCGTCGCATTTCTGCCATGGTGCTAGTAGAGAGTTGTCGACTTTCCCTAAGTTTCGACTCATTGCCTGGAGCACTTTGTCTGCGGAGTTGGCTGTGTGGTAGCCCGTAGGAACTCCAAGGTGTTCGTATAGTTCGTGTTCACCTAAGATCGCTGGTTCGCCGCCTTGGATGTTAAAAGCGGTTGTAATAGCTTGCTTGCGCCGGCCGTCGATGTGGAGGGTTGCGCATTTCTTTGTGTTGAAGGATAACCCTGCCCAGTTGGCCATTTCTGTGGTTGTGTCCAGTAGTCGCTGGAGATCAGGTGGATTCTCAGCGATTATGGCCATGTCGTCAGCGTATGCCAGCGAATTGATTTTCTTGCCCATCAAACGGTATCCGCCCCCACTGGCTGTGATGGCGTGGAGAATTGGCTCAATTGCCAGGTTGAAAATAATTGGTGATAGTGGGCAACCCTGCTTTACTCCAGATGTGATGTGGATGGCGGGTGTTGGACCAGTGCTGCTCCTGATCGACGTTGTGTTATTCTCGTATAGTCGTCGGATAACGTCTATCGAGTTGTCGCTCAGGCCGGACCATTCCAGTGACTGGAAGATCGTCTCGTGGGGTATTGATCCGAAGGCGTTGGCAAGATCGAGCCAAGCCACGCAGCACTGTCTTCGGTTCTTTCTTGCGTCAGCGATTATCGATTGCAGGACGAAGTTGTGCTCCGCGCATCCATCCATCTGCAGGAATCCCTTCTGGCTTTCGCCCAGTCTGTGATTTCTTGCAGCCCAAGCGCCCAGCCTTTCAGCCAGTACCGACGTATGGATTTTGGCTATTGTGTTCGATAGCGAGATGGGTCGCCAGTTTGATACATCCTCACGACTACCCTTCTTGTGGATTAGGATAGTGACTGAGGTTGTCCATGCCTTTGGAGTGTGCTTTAGGCGCCTGGCACAGTTCAGGACTACTGCGATGATCTGGGCTCCCACATCAAACTTCCTCCAGTTGGAGTATCGCACGCCGTCGGGCCCGGGCGCAGTGTTGCTGCAGCGGATTAGGTCACGGTCGCTTATGTTGAGTACGGGCGGCACTTGTGCTTGCGTCGGCATTGTTGGTGTCAGCTGCGTGCCGAGGCTAAATACCCGCGTGAAGTGAGCGTGTAGGTCGTTGCTCGGGATGCGGCAGAACGGTGAGTCATCATCAATAATCTCCCGGAAAGCACGTTGGCGGTTTTTGCGATAGAGCTTCTGGATTCTTGAGGCATCTTGGGCGTTGTAGTTGTTCCTTTTTGGTTGGTTAGGGTTGTTCTGTTGTGCCGTGCCCTGTCTTCTTGGATGTTGAGAATGTTGAGGATGCTCGCTTGGTTTTACTTCTTTCATGAGCTCCTCAAAATTGTCTTCAAAATCAGCAGATACTACATATGTAACTTGCGCTTCTTTGCATAGGTATTGATTCGGTGAAAGTTCATCGCAAACTTGGTCTATGTACGAATACTTAGTATCGCTGACTGCAAGGTAAGGTTTATGTGGAAAGTTTATGTAGAATACATTTGATTGGTTTCTAGGGATAGGCACTGGGTATAGTTGGTAATAGTGATAAATTTTTGATTCGACCAGTGGAATTTCTAAAATGAAAGTGACCACTAAACCTTTTGAATAGCTTTTAATATTCATAATTCTTTCAGTGAGTATCAGAGGTTGATCTGGTGTTCTTCTATTAGATTTTGGTCTCTGACAAATTTCGCAATTATTGATGAAATTAGAAATATCGTTTTTCATTCATTTCCAGTAATAGCTTAATTTTGATCTGGCGAGATCTTCGTAAGAAAATTTTATTATCATTTCTCTTTCTTCTAGTTTTACATTGTTTACTAGTTTGCTACAATCAATGAGTTTGAAAGTATTAAAGCGTTCCGTTAGAGTTTCTTGGAATGTAGATCGTAGTTCTGGAGAAAGGAAATGAATGTAAGTATTTTTACTTATAAGGTATTCATTGAGAAATTTTGTTATTGCGTTTACATTGTTTGGAATAGTAATATGGATGATTTTATGTCCGTCAAATGATTCTTGTTTTACATTTATGTAGGCTTCATAAGGAGCTTGTTTGGCAATTATTTGATTTGGTTTATTATTAATTATTTCGTCTAAAAGAGTCATTTCTGCAGGGCTTTCGCTTGCATTAAGACTATGAATGGTTTGTGAAGAATTGTGCGGTGGTCTTATTTGAACATTTGATATTACATTTATTCTTGATGTTAAGGGTTTTTCTAGTTCTTCAATAATTTGGCTGATATTTTCGTTCATAAGATCGTCGGTGTTGAATTGACTAGTTGTTTCTTCTAGAAATTTTTCAATATCGATATCGATGTCACCTGGGTTGTTATGGGTTGAATTAGTTTCTAGTGCGTTGAGAGTGATACGAGAAAGAGCGTCAGCATTAGTATTTTGTTTTCCGCTTTTATAAATGATTGTGTAATCAAATTCTTCGAGTTTAAGCCTCCATCTTACGAGTTTAGAATTTGGTTCCTTTAGATTAAACAATCATATCAAGGGTCGATGATCGGTATATATTTGAAGCTTTCTGTAGTAAAGATAGGGTCTAAAATATTTACATGCCCAAACTATGGCGAGCAATTCCTTTTCAATTGTAGAATATTTTGGTTCTGTTTCATTTAGAGTACGAGAAGCGTATGCTATTGGGTGATCGTTAGGTAGTGTTGATTGTGAAAGAACTGCGCCTAAGGCTATATTAGAGGCGTCTGTAGTTAATACGAAC